ACACCAGTATTGATATCCAGTTAAAAGAACGGCGTTCAGCCTAGTGTCAAAACTGCAACCAATCGGTGCACAGAGCTCTGGTGGATCGTCAGTCAACGGATCACATGTCAACCTTCGTTTAGAGATTTGCTCCTGACACTGGGTTACCAGCCATATGAATCCCTTGGTGTGGTCGTCACAGTGAACTTGGTGCTAATGTATTCGCGCTACAGCACGCACCCATGTGTTGCACCAGGTTGTCACCAAACAACCTTAACAAGTGAGATCAGTCACTGCCTTTCGACAGGGTCGTTCAACACTATGATAGCCTTACCGTATTATCTGTGCCCTTACTTCAGAATAATATTAGGGCTACGGACGTTTCTAGAATGGCCACCATATGTGCTCATAGGGTTCCCACTATCAAGATTTGAAACACTTGATACCCTCGTCACAGTTCTAACATTCTAAGGACATATATCAATACATATTGCAATAATAATGATTTACGCGATAAAGAATAAAATGCCTTTAATTGATTAATGAACATTATTACAAAAAGTCAATTCTACAATAATTGATTGGCTCTAGGGCATCTACTCTAACAAAAACGTCACCACATCAGGCTGTGAACCTCTTTGAATCATGAATTTCAACAACCCATTAGCTTCCTCCATCTTCCCCTTCTTGCAAAGCCAATTTATCATTGTAATAAATGTCACTACATTAGGCTCCAAACTTCTTTGACTCATCCATTCCAGCAACCCATTAGCTTCCTCCATCTTCCCGTCCTTGCAAAACCCATTTATCATTGTACTAAAAGTCACCACATTAGGTTGCAAGCCTCTCTGACTCATTGATTCCAACAACTCATTAGCTTCCTCCGTCTTCCCCTTCTTGCAAAGCCCATTTATCATTGTTGTAATCGTAACCACATTAGGCTGCAAACCTCTCTTAATCATCAATTCCAACAACCCATTAGCTTCCGCCATCTTCCCCTCTTTGAAAAACCCATTTATCATTGAATTAAAACTCACCACATTAGCCTGCAAACCTCTTTGAATCATTATTTCCACAAACCCATCAGCTTCCTCTATCTTCCCCTCCTTGCAAAACCCACTTATCATTGTAGTATACGTGAGTAAATTAGGCTACAAACCTTGATCCGCCATCTTAAAAAACAAGCCTTTAGCCCCTCCAAATTTCTCACAAAAAAAACAACCGTAAATTAGAGTGGTACAAACAACCACATTTGGCTTAATTCCTCCACTCTCCATTTCCATAAACAATTCTTTCGCCTTATCTACCAACCCATCTTTCCAAAGACCATTGATAATACTACCATAAGAAACAATATCAAGCTTGACCCCAAACACAACCCTTTTCTTGAACAACTCCATAGCCTCCAAACTCTTATTCTCCAAACACAAACCTTTAATCAAAGAATTAAAAGCCGCAACCTCTGGGTTAAAACTCCACCTCAAAATCCTCCAAAAAATATCAAAACCATCACAAACTCAACCCACATTACAAAAACAATTAATCAAAATATTCAAAGTAATTAAATCAAGTAACAACCCATCGAACCCAGTCGTCTGTAAAGCAAAATAACGTCTTTATAAAACTTCTTCTTAGCAAGAGCTCCAAACAACCGGTTGAATGATGAAATCGGTGGTTTGGGTTGCATATGAATCATTAAACAAAAGAAATAATCATCAATTTCAGCAACCCTTAGTCCTCCATCTTCCCCTCTTTACAGAGCCCATTAATCTTGAATAATTGTTAGGAAACATTCATTGAGACAACGAAAAAAAATCAATAATACAGGATCGTTCCATAAACCAAGATCAGTACAATTTACAGTTTATATCACAATAAGAATCTGCAGAAAATTAATCTAGAGTTTAAAAATGCTGCGCACATTTGGAGGCTCCTCCAAGTTTGTCTCTGAACGTGTTTTGCTACCGACCAAGTGTAGGATCGAACCACGTAGTCACACAAAGACAATCGCAAGGAACTAAGGCGGGATTTCTAGATCCCTCTTTAGCCTTAAGAATCAAGAAAATGAAGAGTAATTGATTTTAGCAAAATCATTCTGGGTGAGAGAGTGAAATAAGGGGTTGTGTTTTTCTTTTCAATGAAAATGAGTGAAATGAATAAAAATCTCTCACTTTTTCAATTAACACTTCCTTTTATAGTGTTATTTTAATTGCCCTATTCCCATATGGAATAGGCTTGGCTCCAACCCAACACCCCATGTTCCAAACACTCCCAATTAGATATTTATTTTAATTCATCATTATCTCAATTAAAATCAATTAATATATATTATAATATATTATATATATATATATATATATATACATTTAACAATAATGATAATTATTTACATATGCGAACACATATTAAACATAATTTCACTTTTTAATTTTTCTAACATTAATAAAGGCTACACCTCAGAAATTTAATTGCGCTGTGAAATTACCAAAATACCCTTTCACACCAAAAGACGAAAAGCCCTTCTAACTTCCTGGCTCTTAAATTATCTTCTATGTGTGTGACCCTAGGCTCCTCATCATACCGGCAGTGTATAGTATCGCAATAACACAATAATCGTCTCACTATACAAGACCAAGATTGGCCCCTAGCAAGGCATCATGGCACATAGATTCGGATTCACAAAGTAGCTACCGTCAATGATATGTTACGTACATTCGATCCTTTCATCATCGTTATCTCGATGAGACAAAGGCATAGAAATAGTGTCAACCTTCGTTATCTCGATATTATATATTCGTTTTTGGACCAATGACCTATATTTTAAATGGATAGAGCAATAACTCAATCCCACTGGTCCATGTTTTAGTGTCATTGCCATATACTGAATTGCGCCGTGAGATACTTCTCCTGTACCTGGATGATGAACCTCTGTCTATCCATCATAGTCTTGATACACTCCTTGACAGCCAATCACCACCGTATTGATAGCTCTGAAAAGACTGCGTTAGGCTAGTGTCAACTGCACCAATCGGTGCACAAGGCGCTCTGGTGATCTCAAGTCTAAGGATCACACATGTACCACCATTCATTAGAGGATTTGCTCCATAGACTGGTTACCATCCATATGGAATCCTCTTGTGGGTCTATTCCAGTGAACTTGCTGCATGTATTCGCCTACAGCAATAACAGATACCTTCCAATACTCAATCAAACCACAACAATAACAGCAACAACACTCAAGAGTCAACCCAGAAAAATATCAACAAACAATAGCCAAACCCACAAAATAAAAGTCAAGTCTATTTATATTCTAGCAAAGCAAATACGAATTGCTAGTATAGTTATTTGTGGAGACTTATGGATTTGATGGTTAAGGGTAAACCCAATCAGTTTCAGAAACAGGAGAAATTACTCTTATGATACGTTTGTACTTTCAACTTTTGAGGGTGGATTTTGTTGTTTTTAAAACTTTGGGATTATATTTTTTCTGAAATTATTTAGAGGGTGTATTGTAGTTGACATGGATAGCTATTTATGCAGCCTTTGGGATAGATCATAAGATTATGATATGATGAAGAACAACAAAAACTATTTTGTTGTTCTTTTTTCTTTTTTTAATTTTGTAGACAAGGCATCAAATTTTATTCATGTAATTTTGCAATGAAATATGCAGCTTCTTGAATTAACATACCTTGCATTACTGGCAACTGAGTGTTCGAACTAGTTTATAAACCTCGGATCATCTGAACTAAGTAAACGTGTTTCAAGCGAAAGATGTTCATGTAAAGCTTAAAAGCAAATCCATAAGGTTTAGGAACTCTTGACTGTGATTAACAAAGCACAAAGTAACTGATTTCCCTCTCCTGTAATACAATTGCAAATCCTATGAATTAATCTTTTATATGATCAAACTGTTCATCTTGGTAATCATTCTAACAAAAAAAAAAAAAAAAACTTATAGCTCAAATATTGCAGGTATTAACTTTCCACACAATTGATTCCAGTTTAGCTTCTGATTCTGAAAGAGCCTTGACTCTTGAATCCATTGCCAGTCTCATGTTTCTATCTTCCACCACACCAGACTGGTTCTTGTAAAAGAGTTTCCAAATTATACTCACCTCTGCCTAAAATGTTTCTTCTCCTCATAATATATCTCCTAGTCTCTTCACGGCAACCGCTCTTTCATCAACTAAAACACCCTACTCAGATGCTTCTTCCACACCAGACATGCCAATTTCAACCAAAAATTTGCAGCCTGGTTCAACTAAAAGATTTTCCAAATTGTACTCAGTACTCACTTCAGCCTAAAATGCTTCTTCTCTTCAATATATATCTCCTAGCCTCTGCCCTTTCATCAACTAAAACACCATGCTTAGATGTTTCACACCGGAATAATATAAGCAAAGCTTCAGTGAAATTGAGATCAAATCTTTAGAAATCAACTCTTGGAATAGTAATTATTAATTAGTTCTAATGTTGCTTTCTTTTGATTGATGGATATTCTTGATAACCCTTGGTCAATGTTAAACTTATCAAAACACATTTACCTTTGGTTGGATCAAGAAAATTTCAATGCCTTGAGATCTTTGGCATGTCATTATCAAATTATCCTACCATTCTGCTTCAGATATCTTCATTGGAGAATCCTATAAATTTTATGGCATCAGAAATCTTAAACAAGCTCTGAATGCTTGGAACATAAATCAGCAATCGACTTTGAAAAATAGGAAAAGGATTAAAACGATAGTAGCCCTAACATTATATAAAAAATTCTACCATATTCCAAGATACTGAAAGTCATACAAGAAAGAAGAATCCTCCTGATGTAAAACAAGACGCGATGAGATTCCTATACTACCTTATCATACAAAGCGAGGAACGAATCCCTGAAATACATGATATGTGCAAAAAAAACTTAAAAATAATATAAAGGGTATATGTCAAGACATATGATCGAAGGATGCAACATATAAAGATAAAAAATCAGCCTATGGGTCCTTATAAAGGTCAAGACTAGAAGATCAGATCATAGGCTGCAAATCTCTTTGAGTCATCAATTCCAACAACCCATTAGCTTCCTCCATCTTGCCCCCCTTGCAAAGCTCATTTATCATTGTAGTAAAAGACACCACATTAGGCTCCAAACCTCTTTGCCTCATCAATTCCAACAACCCGTTAGCTTCTTCCATCTTCCCTTCCTTGGAAAGCCTACTTATCATTGTAGTAAAAGTCACCACATTAGGCTGCCAACCTCTTTGGATCATCAATTTCAAGTATGCATTAGCTTCCTCCATCTTTCCCTCCTTGCCAAGCCCATTTATCATTGTATTAAAAGTCACAACATTAGGTTGCAAACCTCTTTGACTCATCAATTCCAACAAACTATTAGTTTCCTCCATCTTCCCCTCTATGCGAAGGCCATCTACCATGGAATTAAAAGTCACCAGATTAGGCTGCAAACCTCTTTGAATCATCAATTCCATCAACCCATTAGCTTCCTCAATCTTCCCCTCTTTGCAAAGCCCACTAATCATTGTATTAAACGTCACCAGATTAGGCTGCAAACCTCTTTGACTCATCAATTCCAACAACCTATTAGCTTCCTCCATCTTCCCCTCCTTGCAAAGCCCATCTATCATTAAATTAAACGTCACCAGATTAGGCTGCAAACCTCTTTGACTCATCAATTCCAACAACCAGTTAGCTTCCTCCACCTTCCCCTTTTTGCAAAGCCCATTTATCATTGAATTAAACGTCACCACTTTATGCTGCAAACCTCTTTGAATCATCAATTTCAGCAACCCCTTAGTCCTCCATCTTCCCCTCTTTACAGAGCCCATTAATCATTGAATTAAATTGTTAGGAAACGATTCATTGAGACAACGAAAAAAAAAATCAATAATAACAAGGATCGTTCCATAGAACCAAGATCAAGGTACAATTTTACAGTTTATATCACAATAAGAATCTGCAGAAAATTAATCTAGAGTTTAAGAAACCATGCGCACATTTGGAGGCTCCTCCAAGTTTGTCTCTGAACGTGTTTTGCTACCGATCCAAGTGTAGGATCGAACCAACGTAGTCTACACAAAGACAATCGCAAGGAACTAAGGCGGGATTTACTAGATCCCTCTTTAGCCTTAAGAATCAAGAAGAAATGAAGAGTAATTGATTTTAGCCAAAAATCAATTCTGGCGTGAGAGAGTGAAATAAGGGGTTGTGTGTTTTCTTTTTCAATGAAAATGAGTGAAATGAATAAAAATCTCTCACTTTTTCAATTAACACATTCCTTTTATAGTGTTATTTTAATTGCCCTATTCCCATATGGAATAGGCTTGGGCTCCAACCCAAACACCCCATGTTTCCAAACACTCCCAATTAGATATTTATTTTAATTCATCATTATCTCAATTAAAATCAATTAATATATAATATATTATATATATATTATATATATATATATATATATCCATTTAACAATAATGATAATTTATTTAACATATGCACCATATTTAAACATAATTTCACTTATTTAATTTTTCTAACAAATTAAATAAAGGCTACAACCTCGAAAATTTAATTGCCTGTGAATTACCAAATACCCTTCACCCAAAAAACGAAAAGCCCTTCTAACTTCTGGCTCTTAAATTATCTTCTATGTGGGTGACCCATAGGCTCCTCATCATACCGCAGTGTATAGTATCCAATTAACACAATTAATCGTCTCACTATACACAGACCAGATTGCCCCTAGCAAGGCATCATGGCACCTATAGATTCGGATTCAGCAAAGTAGCTACCGTCAATGATATGGTTACCGTACATTCGACCCTTTCATCATCGTTATCTCGATGAGACAGAAGGCATAGAAATAGTGTCAACCTTCGTTTACCTCGATTTATATATTCAGTTTTGGACCAATGACCTATATTTTAAATTGGATAGAGCAATAACTCAATCCCCTATGGTCCATAGTTTTTAGTGTCATTGCCATATACTGAATTGCGCCGTGAGATAACTTCTCCTGTACCTGGGAGTGATGAATCCTCTGTCTATCCATCATAGTCTTGATACACTCCTTGACAGCCAATCACCACCGTATTGATAGCTCTGAAAAGAACTGCGTTAGGCTAGTGTCAAACTGCACCAATCGGTGCACAAGGCGCTCTGGTGATCTCAAGTCTAAGGATCACATGTACCACCATTCATTAGAGGATTTGCTCCATAGACACTAGGGTTACCATCCATATGGAATCCTCTTGTGGGTCTATCCAGTGAACTTGCTGCGATGTATTCGCCTACAGCAAGCACCCATGTGTTGCACCAGGTTTCCACCAAACAACCTTGACAAGTGAGATTAGTCACTACCTTTCGACAGGGTCTTTCAACACTATGATAGCCTTACCGTATTATCTGTGCTCTTACTTCAGAATAATATTAGGGCTACGGACGTTTCTAGAATGGCCACCATATGTGCTCATAGGGTTCCCACTATCAAGATTTGAAACACTTGATACCCTCGTCACAGTTCTAACATTCTAAGGACATATATCAATACATATTGCAATAATAATGATTTACGCGATAAAGAATAAAATGCCTTTAATTGATTAATGAACATTATTACAAAAAGTCAATTCTACAATAATTGATTGGCTCTAGGGCATCTACTCTAACAAAAACGTCACCACATCAGGCTGGAAACCTCTTTGAATCATGAATTCCAACAACCCATTAGCTTCCTCCATCTTCCCCTTCTTGCAAAGCCAATTTATCATTGTAATAAATGTCACTACATTAGGCTCCAAACTTCTTTGACTCATCCATTCCAGCAACCCATTAGCTTCCTCCATCTTCCCGTCCTTGCAAAACCCATTTATCATTGTACTAAAAGTCACCACATTAGGTTGCAAGCCTCTCTGACTCATTGATTCCAACAACTCATTAGCTTCCTCCGTCTTCCCCTTCTTGCAAAGCCCATTTATCATTGTTGTAATCGTAACCACATTAGGCTGCAAACCTCTCTTAATCATCAATTCCAACAACCCATTAGCTTCCGCCATCTTCCCCTCTTTGAAAAACCCATTTATCATTGAATTAAAACTCACCACATTAGCCTGCAAACCTCTTTGAATCATTATTTCCACAAACCCATCAGCTTCCTCTATCTTCCCCTCCTTGCAAAACCCACTTATCATTGTAGTATACGTGAGTAAATTAGGCTACAAACCTTGATCCGCCATCTTAAAAAACAAGCCTTTAGCCCCTCCAAATTTCTCACAAAAAAAACAACCGTAAATTAGAGTGGTACAAACAACCACATTTGGCTTAATTCCTCCACTCTCCATTTCCATAAACAATTCTTTCGCCTTATCTACCAACCCATCTTTCCAAAGACCATTGATAATACTACCATAAGAAACAATATCAAGCTTGACCCCAAACACAACCCTTTTCTTGAACAACTCCATAGCCTCCAAACTCTTATTCTCCAAACACAAACCTTTAATCAAAGAATTAAAAGCCGCAACCTCTGGGTTAAAACTCCACCTCAAAATCCTCCAAAAAATATCAAAACCATCACAAACTCAACCCACATTACAAAAACAATTAATCAAAATATTCAAAGTAATTAAATCAAGTAACAACCCATCGAACCCAGTCGTCTGTAAAGCAAAATAACGTCTTTATAAAACTTCTTCTTAGCAAGAGCTCCAAACAACCGGTTGAATGATGAAATCGGTGGTTTGGGTTGCATATGAATCATTAAACAAAAGAAATAGCGTCATTCACCAAGAGTGATCTTACCTTCTTTACAATCTTTTTGAAGGAATTTCTAAAGCTGGGGTTACTTTAAGTACTAAATCTTGTGGTATAGTTGTAATCACTTTACCTGCTTTTGTGAATGAAGAAAGAGAAGAAGAAAAACGACAAATCAAGCTTTTGAGGATCATTTCAGTGGCGCCATTTGGGGATTATCTATCGAGGGTTCCAACTGGCTTAAACTTTTGGGTGTTGAGGGTTATGTAATACATTTCACTGGAAATGACAGTGGGATAAAACATATTTATCTGAAACCTATAGGGTTCAGATGTAATTATATTTTTGCTGAAATTATTTAAAGGGTGTATTGTTTTTAACATGGAGGGTAGCTATTTTCTGCAGAATAGTGGATAGATCATATGATTATGATATGTTGCAGACCTGGCTTCAAAGTTTGTTCATGTAGCTACTTGAATTGACATATCTCGAATTACTGGTAGAGAGTGTTCAAACTACTCACAAGCGGCTAGCCTCGTCTCGCCTGACAGCTTCAAGTAAATAAATTGTATTAAATGCAATCCAACCTAATTATGGATTAGGTCAAATTCAATATTGAACTCAAATCTACGTTTATTCAAAAGGCAAAACCATTCATGATTTCAAATGATATAATATTTTATATATCTATTTATGAATTCATAATCCATATCCAAATTAAGAAAGGACTTTTTCTCAAATGCTTTTAACGAGATTTTTCATTCTTTTTCGAAAAATTTTGATATTGAAAAAGAATATACATGATACAATTAATCAAGCAATACTACACTTACAACCCAATCTTACAGTCTTTCTCTCACAACCCCGACGTGATAGCTCGTAATTGGTCCGCTCGCAAATGGGTCATGCCTGCTTGCAGTGGATCTCGCCTACCAAATTATGAGTTGATCAGTTATGAACTACTACATCGAGGTTGTGAGAGAAAGTTTGTAAGTATGAGTTGTGAGCCAGTCTTTACTAAATTAATCGACTTTGCTTCTAAAAGAATATCTAGAGTGTATTTGTTTATTATTTTGAGTAGTATTTTTGAAAAAGTTAAGTTGAGTTATTATTATAGGGATAAGACTTGAATTTGAAAATGTGTTTGGTAAGATTATTTTTTAATCCCCTATATTTGTTAATTTAGTTAAACATCCCCTACAATAAAAGTTTTAAAATTAAGAAAAACACCCCCACCCACCCATTAAATGCTAGCGGTGGTGGCCGACTCTATCAGGAATATGTGGGTGGGTGGAAGTGTTTTTGTCAATTTATAATTTTTTGTTGTTAGGTGTTTAGTTAAATTAACAAACCTAAGGGGTTAAAAAATATTAAATATTTTGAGTTGAATAGAGGATTAGATTTTGGGAATGGTGAAGCAAATATGCATTTTGAATAGGATATGATAGGAATAAGGAAACAAACACAACTATGTTTATGTAATGACTTCTTTCTACTAATATGCTCACAAAAGATACTTAATAAAAATACATTGCAGCCAATCCCACCGTATTGATAGCTCTGAATGAACTGCGTTAGGCTAGTGTCAAACTGCACCAATTGGTGCATAAGTGCTCCGATGATCTCAAGTCTAAGGATCACATGCACCACCATTCGTTAGAGGATTTATTCCTATCACTGGGGTTACCATCCATATAGAATTCTCTGGTGGGTCAGTCCAGTGAACTTGCTACGGTAAATCGCCTACATAAGCACCTATGTGTTGCACTAGGTTTTCACCAAACAACCTTGACAACTGAGATCAGTCACTGCCTTTCGACAGGTCGTTCAACACCATGATACTTACCGTATTATCTATGCCCTTACTTCAGAATAATAATGGGGCTACGGATGTCTAAATGGCCACCTATGTGCTCATAGGGTTCTCACTATCAAGATTTGAAACACTTGATACCCTCGTCATGGTTCTACCATTCTAAGGGCATATTCAATACATATTGCAATAATAATAATGATTTACGCATATATAATAAAATGCCTTTATTGATTATGAACATTATTACAAAGAGTCAATTCTACACAATTGATTAGCTCTAGGGCATCTACTCTAACATGCCCGCCACCTTAATGAATGGCGAAAGAAAGAAAGAATTTGTACGGTCTATAAAGTGCATGTAGATGAGGACTGTACTCACTCACACGGCCAGGGTTCCGAATCCATGCATCACTGAGTCCGATCAGCAAGAAAAGAAAGAATAGAATAAGAATAAGCATAAGAATAAGAATAAGAATAAGAAGATGAGAAAGCTTGAGCATACAAGAAAAGAAAAGAAAAGAAAAGAAGAGCTTGAGCAAGAAAGAAAGAAAAGAAAGAAGGCTTGAGCAAGAAAAAAGAAAAGAAAGAAACAGAATAAGAAATAGAAAAGAAGAAAGAAAATGTATTTCTATGCATATTGCATGTGCATTGCATTCATGCATATTACCATGATTTTCATCACGGTTAGTAAGAATAGAAAGAATAGAAAGAAAGAGTGGAAAGAATAGAAAGAAAAAGCGAGAGAAATGGCATCACTGTCCACCATTGCTAAAGTTTTGTACGTTATTTTGGTATATGTAAAGAACTATATTTTATAATTAAAAAAAATTTGGGCCCAACTCATTTCATATGCTAAGTATGTATATTTTCATCGATATTTTCTTAAGTATACTAGTAGAAAAAGTCATTACATTTAGTAGAAGTGTACCCTTCGCTTTGGTGAACAAGGTTTCGATGAACAGTGGTTTGATTAAAACCATGGTGATGGAAGGCACACATGACTTAATATACTTTAATTGAGGGTTTGTCATTTAATGTCTCATCAGATTATTATCTTTGTTAGAATGACATTGTTTGGCATGTTATTCAGCATTTAACCTTAGCATGCATTCTAAACACAATATAAAACGTGCCGGTACATGGCCCAACTAAAAACCGATTTCCTCGAGCCTAGAGGAATCGGTGGGTCACCGAAGGGTCCTGTAATAAACATCTTGAGTTTTCAAGTATGGTTGCCTTGACCTTTGCTCCGTTTTTCAAGTACATTACAAAATCATCATTCTGAATTTACAATAAAATAATTATACAAATTCTTTACATCAATAAATTTAGAAACCTTGATTTACATTCGAGGGGAATGAGATGAGAAGAGAATGTACATCGAGAAGAGGAGAAAGGCAGGACACGCAGGCCTTATTTAATAAATTATACAACCATACATACCCAAAAATAATTTAAAACATTCACCCTTAGGTCTACGGCTCATGTACCGGGCACCATGCAATATACAGACAAGTACAAAGCATACATTTCAAAAATAATCAATTTTTGAAATTTGTGGGTTAATTACCATTTACCCCCTGATAATTTGTGGAACTAAAGTTTGGTCTAAAAGTTGTAAAACTTACATTCTGGCCCCTGTGCACTCGGAAGTGCGCTTGCTGCAGCGATGAGTTAGATCGCTGCAGCGTGCGTTGATTACTTGACGTTCACGCTCAACATTCGTTTGCCGCGGTGATTTGGTACAGCGTTCGTCCTAAGGACGATCGCCGCGGCAACGAGCGTTGTTTTCATACAGCACTCATCTAGAGGACGATCTCCACGGTGAGCGTTGGTTTCGTCACTAGCGTCAGCACAAACAACGCTCACAGCAGTGATGGGTTATATCACCGCGGTGAGCGTACACAGATCTGTAGCTTCGGAAATGTTCATACAGTAATCATATACACTCAAACGGATTTTCAATCAATCAAACATACTGATTTCAACCAAAAAATCCATCATGCATTAAACCAAACTTGTAGTTCATCAACAAATTAAATTAATCGATTAATCAATTTCTTAAAACATGATTTAAGGCAGATTTTATAAGGTAACATTATATCATCAAATACATGTTATCAACCATCCAAATAAAAATTGTAAAATTTGGTACCCTAGGCTCTGATACCACTGTTAGTAAATGATCCATATACGCAGCGGAAACAAAAAAAATATAATACGAGGATCGTTTACATGAGCCAAGATCAAGGGTATAATTTTATAATTTATACTAAAGTAAAATCTGCACAAAAAGTTAATCAAGAGTTTAGAATAACATACGCACGTTTGGAGGCTCCTCCAAAATAGTCTTTGTACATATTTGCTATCGACCCAAGCGTAGGATGGAACTTATGAAGTCCACATGAAGACAATCACGAAGAACCAAAGAGGGATTTGCTAGATCCTCTTTGGCTTTAAGATTAAAGAAGAATGAAATCAAAATGAATTGATTTTAGGCAAAAATGGGTTTCTGCCGTGGGAGAGAAATGGGGCTGCTGTGTATTTGGTTTTACAATGAAAATGAGCTAATCAATTAATTGTTCCATTTTACAAATAAACATTTTCTTTTATAGTAAAACTTTAATGCCCTATTCCCATATGGAATAGGCTTGGGTTCCAACCCCAACACCCCATGTTGCCAAACACTCCCTAATTAGATATTTTATTTATTTCATCATTATCTCAATTAAACTCAATTAATATATGTTTAATCTATGTATTAACATTTAACAATAATGATGATTTAATTAAATATATGTGAACACATATTTAAAAGTAATTTCACGTATTTAATTTTTCTAATTAAATAAAGGCTACGACCTTTAGCAAATTTAATTGCACTGTGAAATTACCAAAATACCCTTTCGCCTTAAAAAGACAAAAACGCCCTTCCTTCTTCTTGGTGTGACCTATAGGCTCCTCATCATACTGGCAATGTATAGTATCGTGATTAACACCAATTAATCATCTCACTGTACACAGACCAAGATTGGCCCCTAGCAAGGCATCATGGCCACCCGATAGATTCGGATTCAGCAAAGTAGCTACCTGTCAACGATATGGTTACCGTACAATTCGATCTTTTCATCATACGTTATCTCGATGAGACGAAGGCATAGAAATAGTGTCAACCTTCAGTTACTCTTGATATTATGTATTCAGTTCGACCAATGACCCGTATTATAATCTGGATAGAGCAACAACTCAATCCCACTGTGGCCACAGTTTTAGTGTCATTGCCATATACTGAATTGCGCCGTGAGATAACTTCTCCCGTACCCGGGAGTGATGAATCCTTTATCAATCCACCATAGTCTTGATACACTCCTCGATGCAGCCAATCACCACCGTATTGATAGCTCTGAATAGAACTGCGTTAGGCTAGTGTCAAACTGCACCAATTGGTGCATAAGGTGCTCCGATGATCTCAAGTCTAAGGATCACATGCACCACCATTCGTTAGAGGATTTATTCCATAGACACTGGGGTTACCATCCATATAGAATTCTCTGGTGGGTCAGTCCAGTGAACTTGCTACGGTAAAATCGCCTACAGTAAGCACCTATGTGTTGCACTAGGTTTTCACCAAACAACCTTGACAACTGAGATCAGTCACTGCCTTTCGACAGGGTCGTTCAACACCATGATAGCCTTACCGTATTATCTATGCCCTTACTTCAGAATAATAATGGGGCTACGGATGTTTCTAGAATGGCCACCTTATGTGCTCATAGGGTTCTCACTATCAAGATTTGAAACACTTGATACCCTCGTCATGGTTCTACCATTCTAAGGGCATATATCAATACATATTGCAATAATAATAATGATTTACGCGATATATAATAAAATGCCTTTTATTGATTAATGAACATTATTACAAAGAGTCAATTCTACAACAATTGATTAGCTCTAGGGCATCTACTCTAACATGCACGCCACCTTAATTGAATGGCCTAAGAAGAAAGAAAGAATTTGTACGGTCTATAAGAGTGCATGTAGATGAGGACTGTACTCACTCACACGGCCAGGGTTCCGAATCCATGCATCAACTGAGTCCGATCAGCAAAGAAAAGAAAGAATAAGAATAAGAATAAGCATAAGAATAAGAATAAGAATAAGAAAGAATGAGAAAGCTTGAGCATACAAGAAAAGAAAAGAAAAGAAAAGAAGAGCTTGAGCAAGAAAGAAAAGAAAAGAAAAGAAGAGCTTGAGCAAGAAAGAAAAGAAAAGAAAAGAAACAGAATAAGAAATAGAAAAGAAGAAAGAAAATGTATTTCTATGCATATTGCATGTGCATTGCATTCATGCATATTACCATGATTTTCATCACGGTTAGTAAGAATAGAAAGAATAGAAAGAAAGAGTGGAAAGAATAGAAAGAAAAAGCGGAGAGAAATGGCATCACTGTCCACCATTGCTAAAGTTTTGTACATGTTATTTTGGTATATGTAAAGAACTATATTTTATAAGTAAAGAAAAATTTGGGCCCAACTACATTTCATATGCTAAGTATGTATATTTTCATCGTATATTTTCTTAAGTATACTAGTAGAAAAAAGTCATTACATTAAAAGTCACCACATTAGGTTGCAAGCCTCTCTGACTCATTAATTCCAACAACTCATTAGCTTCCTCAGTCTTCCCCTTCTTGTAAAGCTCATTTATCATTGCTGTAAACGTAACCACATTAGGCTGCAAACCTCTTTGAATCATCAATTCCAAAAACCCATTAGCTTCCTTCGTCTTCCCGTCCTTGTAAAGCACACTTATCATTGTAGTAAACTTAACCACATTAGGCTGCAAACCTCTTTGAATCATCAATTCCAACAACCCATTAGCTTCATCCATCTTCCCCTCCTTGCAAAGCCCATTTATCATTGTATTAAAAGTCACCACATTAGGCTGCAAACCTCTTTGAATCATCAATTCCAACAACCCATTAGCTTCATCCATCTTCCCCTCCTTGCAAAGCCCATTTATTATTGAATTAAAAGTCACCACATTAGGCTGCAAACCTCTTTGAATCATCATTTCCATCAACCCATTAGCTTCCTCTATCTGCCCCTCCTTGCAAAACCCACTTATCATTGTATTATACGTCAGTAAATTAGGTTGCAAACCTTGATCCAAGATCTCAAAAAACAAGCCTTTAGCCCTCTCCAAATTTCTCACAAAACAACAACCGTAAATTAGAGTGGTACAAACAACCACATTTGGCTTAATTCCTCCACTCTTCATTTCCAAAAACATTTCTTTCGTCTTATCTACCAACCCATCTTTGCAAAGACCATTGATAATACTACCATAAGAAACAATATCAGGCCTGACCCCAAACACAGCCATTTTCTTGAACAACTCCATAGCCTCCAAACTCCTATTCTCCAAACACAAACCTTTAATCAAAGAATTAAAAGTCGCAACGTCTGGGTTAAAACCCCACCTCAAAATCCTCTAAAAAACAGCAAAACCATCACAAACTCGACCTGCATTACAAAAACAATTAATCAAAATATTCAAAGTAATTAAATCAGGTAACCCCATCAAATCCAGTCGTTTGTACAGGAAAATAACGTCTTTATAAAACTTTTTCGTAGCAAGAGCTCCAAACAACCGATTGAATGATGAAATCAGTGGTTTGGGTTGCATATGAATCATTAAACAAAAGAAATAGCGTGCTTCACCAAGAGTGATGTTACCTTCTTTACAAACTTTTTGAAGGAATTTCTGAAGCTGGGTTACTTTAAGTACTAAATCTTGTGGTATAGTTGTAGTCACTTTACCTGCTTTTGCGAATGAAGAAGGAGAAGAAGAAAAATGACAAATCAAGCTTTTGAGCATCATTTCAATAGTGTCGTTTGTGGATTATCTATTGAGGGTTCAAACTGGCTTAAACTTTTGGGTGTTGAGGGTTAAATAATACATCTCACTAGAAATGAGAGTGGGATAAAATGTATTTATCTGAAACTTGTAGGGTTCAGATGTAATTTTATTTTTGCTGAAATTATTTAGAGGGTGTATTGTTTTTAACATGGAGGATAGCTATTTTCTGCAGAATAGTGGATAGATCATATGATAATGATATGTTGCAAACTTGGCTTCAAAGTTTGTTCATGTAGCTACTTGAACTGACATATCTCGGATTACTGGCAGGGAGTGTTCAAACTACTCACGAGCGGCTGGCCTCGCCTTGCCTGACAGCTTCAAATAGATAAATTGTATTAAATGCAATCCAACCTAATTATGGATTAAGTCAAATTCAAGATTGAACTCAAATCTTCCTTTACTCAAAAGGCAAAAACTTTCATGATTTCAAATGATATAGTATTTCATATATCTATTTATGAATTCATAATCCATATCCAAATTATGTAAGGACCTTTGCTCAAATGCTTTTGACGAGGTTTTTCATTCTTTTTTGAAGAAATTTTGAAATTAAAAAAAATATACATGATACAATTAATCAGACAATACTACACTTACAACCCAATCTCACATACTTTCTCTCACAATCCTGACGTGATAGCTCGTAATTGGTCCGCTCGCAAATGGGTCCCGCCTGCTTACAGTGGATCTTGGCTACCCAATTATGAGTTGATCAATTAAGAACTACTACATCGGGGTTGTGAGAGAAAGTTTGTAAGTATGAGTTGTGAGTCAGTCTTTACTAAATTAATCAACTTTGCTTCTAAAAGAATATCTAGAGTGTGTTTCTTTTATTATTTTGAGTAGTATTTTTGAAAAATTTTAGTTGAGTTATTTTTACAAGGATAAGATTTGAATTTGAAAATGTGTTTGGTAAGATTATTTTTTAATCCCTTACATTTGTTAATTTAGTTAAACATCTCATATAATAAAAGTTTTAAAATTAAGAAAAACACCCCTACCCACCCATTAAATGCTAGCGGTGGTGGTCGACTCTGTCAGGAATATGTGGGTGAGTGGAGGTGTTTTTGTCAATTTATAATTTTTTATTGTTGGGGGTGTTTAGTTAAATTAACAAACTTAAGAGGTTAAAAAATTTTAATATTTTGAGTTGAATAGAATAGGATTGGATTTCGGGAACAGTGAAACAAACATGCATTTTGAATAGGATATGATAGGAATAAGGAAACAAACACTTCTTTTTTTACATGTCAAACTAACAATAAGTTTGAGCATACGTAACATGGCACCTTGAAAATATATATACATTTTTGCAACGTTTATCCATCCAATTGAAAACGTCAACATTAGCACATGTGACATATAGACTCTCAATAATTAATTGAATGAACGTACATCACACAAATAGTTTGTTACATTTTTTTGAATATTATTCTGTTCTAAATAGGATAAAATATGATTTAATCAAATAAGATATGATTATGATTATATTTGTTAATTTAGCTAAACACCTCCACAATAAAAGTTTATAAATTAACAAAAACACCCCCACTCACCCAACTAATTGTTGGCAACCAGCCGCCGCCGCCAGACGATGGCCGAAAGTTGTCGGAATGGTGTACGACCAACTGAATTTGGTCGATCTTGCACTGATTTTGTCATTTCCGGTTAGATCTATAGCCAAAGATCTGGCAGTTGACAACAGTCATATCTTGGCCATCGTTGACCAATAAGTCTCAGCCAAATTGAAATAAAGATGAAATAATAACATGTCACCAAATTAACCCCATAAATTGAATTCCTCAGAAGATCAATATAATTCTCAAAAGATGGGGGATTGGTGGGCCTTATCCTTTAGCTTTATGAAGCTAATACGTACGGGTGATTAACGATCATACAACAAAGATACGCATTCAGCCGTATAGTCTTGACATAATCTTCATTGAATGTAGTAGTACTACTAGTAGATTTGCAATAATGCATGCCACCCCATTGCCCACATTTGAAATTGGAAACCGCATAAAACAACAGAGAACATGCCCAGTACAAATACAAAGCTATTCGTGCAGACGAGCTGTTTGTGTTAATTAAGTTAATTAACTATATATATATAGTGATGAGAGCCCTCTGGCTCTTAGACTGCAAATATATGGAAGCTTTGATTGATTCTTTGAAGATTAATTTATCTAGCCTTCTAATAACAAACCACCAATACAGCTCCCCCAACCAATCAACCAATGCTACACCGCCACACATGTAGCTTGTCACCACTCCCGTCAAACTCCCACATAGAGAAAATTTCAACAAAAATGTTGCAGCTTATTTCATGTAAAAGAGTTTGAAAATTGTACTCACTTCAATCTAAAATGCTTCTTCTCTTCAATATATATCTCCTAGACTATGCATAGTGATTGCCCTTTCATCAACTAAAACGCCCTGCTCTTTCATCAACTGAAACACCCTGTAACAGTATTTAGTAATTGATTAGAACATAAACCAGTAATGGACTATGAGAAATAGGAAAAAGATTAAAAAGATAGAAGTTCTAAAATTATATAAAAAATTCTAATATAGTGAAAGATACTGAAAGTATATTTCCTCAAACAAGAAAGAAGAATTCTCCTGATGTACAACAAGACTGTAGTGAGATTCTGATACTACCTTATAAAACAAAGCGAGGAATGAATCCTTGAAATACATGATACGTGCAAATTTACATTCTTGAAAACTGAAATACAACTATGTCTAAGAAAGGAAAATCATACTTCATATGTCACCAACAACATGAATTTAATTTGAGCGAATACAGATTGTGTGAGCGGGTATGGGTTGAAGCTTCTAAGGCTATGATTGCCATGGTTGCTTCAGAGCCTTAGATGCAGAAAGGCATGTCCTAATATTCACTTCAAGCAAATGAGTAACGAAGTCAATGAAGCCCTGGTCCCCCATCAGCAATCAGTGAAATAATAAACTCAACGCCACTATTCTTGAACAACTCAAAGACGAGCCTTCCTTTCGCACTATTATGGATACAAAATTAATAGGAAAAATTGGATTCAATTGTCAACTGCTCCTATAAATAGGATTGACTACGGATTTGAACCATAGCACATGCTTTCATAAAACTGTAGGATTCTCCCAATCTAAATCAAGCAGGTTTTACATGAAGAAGTTCTATTTGATACGATTAGGAGAAGCAGTATACTTAAAAAAATAGATAAAGAAGAACCAAGTCACGATAATATAACAATATTTGAGCAAACACAAGGTTGGACAAGTTCCATAAAAGCAAAAATAACCATTGGATTTTGGAGTTCTAGCTTCATGCTTTTAGAGAACTTTGGTAAACGAGCATTTAAACAAAGAAAAAAATGTCTATTTACTAAATGGCTATCTTAAAATTTTCCTTCACGGTTAAACACCTAGCGGTAGATATTTGAAAAAACAATTAAGTGCCATCTTTCCCTCATGGAATTATACTCTCAGAATATTCAGAACTCATTACAAAAATAAGAGTGAAAATAATTAGAGGAGTCAGAATTCAGGTGAGCAATAACAAATTGAAATAAGTTAAAAACTTAAAAAATAATATAAAGGGTTATATATGTCAAGACTTATGATCGAAGGTTGCAACATATAAAGATACCAAATCAGCCCATGGGTACTTATAAAGGTCAAGACTAGAAGATCAAATTATAGGCTGCAAACCTTTTTGACTCATCAATTCCAACAACCCATTAGCCTCCTGTAGCGCCCCACTTGAGGTATGTAGGTAATTTATGTTGCATTGTTTGAATGTTCTTTGATTTACCCTCAATTGAGTTTGTATATTGTTAATATTGTTTGGTTGGCCCTTGGTTGAAGTTATGTGTTGGTTTGGTTGAGTGATTGCCCTAAAATTTGAGAAGACTTGGCGAATTTTGAGGTTGTGGTCTTCACCGGGGCGAAGAATAGTCTTCGCCGCGGCAATGTATGCTATGGATTTCTTCACCGGGGTGAAGAAAGAAACTTCGCCGCGGCGAAGAGCCGGCAGAGATTTTTGTTGAAGTTTCTAGATATTTTTCCCTAAGGGCAAAATGACCATTCTACCCTTATTAGCAGGAAAAGTGGGGAGTGAAATGTAAGGAAATTTCATGGAGAATATGTTAGAGTGGGGGTGTGATTGTAATAAATGAAAGGACAATTGTAACAACTACTGTAAACTAGTACAATGCATGCATAATAACAATAGAAAATTGGGCCCAAAACTTTCTTTTCCTTATTAGTCATATGTCTTTTATACACAAAGAGTATTGTTTACAAAAATAATTTTTAAAAGACAATACAGGGGAAACAGTGTAGCTATTGCTCTTCGCTTGCCGACGCCCCTCCGACTGCATCATCACCTAGATCCTGCATCCACAAAGGAAAAATAACGGGATGAGCACAAAATAATGCTCAGTAAGTAAAACCCTCTATCTGTCTGTCCCCGTATGTAT